CTGGGGCAGCAGTGGGTGCAGGTGGGGGCCAGAGTTGGGGTGGCAGCAGGGGGGGGAAGAGCCCAGGGCTGGGGCGGCAAGAGGTGTGGGTCGGAGGAGAGCCCAGGGCTGGGGCAGCAGGGGAGTGCAAGTGGGGGCCAGAGCTGGGGTGGCAGGGGGTGTGGGCGGGGGAGAGTCCAGGGCTGGGGCAACACAGGGGTGCGGGGGGAGCCCAGGGCTGGGGTGGAGGGCACCAAAAAACCAAAAGCTGTCTCTGTCCCTACCATTCACAGCAAGCTGCAGGTTTCAGTTCCATACTCCTTCCCCGTCCCTTTCCTGTTACTAGTGGCTGAGGGAATGCTGGGAAATGTAGTTCTTTCCCTGCTCCAGGGCTGGCTCTATAGGCAGGGAGCTAACCAAGGAACTACAGCTCCGAGGGCTCCCTGTTGGTTCTCAGCTCCCATGCTGGATTCTTGCGCCCCTGCAAATGTGCCGCCCCAAGCAACTGCTTGCTTTGCTGGTGCCTAAAGCCGGCCCTGTTTCCAGGGGTATACTCCACGCACTTCTCTTTTAGAGTCATCCTGAAGGTGCTCAAGCCCCAAAGGCGGATTTGAAACCATTTTGTTCTTCTTCCTGTTTGTAATCCAGAGCAAAATTGAGTCAGAGTTCCTACAATGAAAGCAGCACTGTGTGCAGGAATATGTGCCAGGATACAGTTCATTGGCTTTACTGAACCTGTGATGGATTACCAGTGTTCCGGTTAGACCTTAAGTGAAAAGGGCCTGATTCTCCTCTCATTTACACCCCTGTAAATTGGCAGTAACTCAGATGAAGTCAGTGCAGGTAATACTGGAGTAAAAGTAGTGTGAGGGAGGAATTCAGCTCAAAGTCATTTACTAAAATCCTCTGATCACCTAGTAAAGAAGTCCCAAAGTTGTCATCCAATGACCACAAGCGGTCTGCAGAGGACATGCTGTAGAGATCTGGCTGCTCACATGATGCTGGCTCCTCCTACTCCTCTCTTCCAGCTGCTAAATTTACTTAAAAGACAGCTAAATACCATGAAGGCCCAGATCCTCACCTGCTGTAAATCGGAATAGCTCCACTGAAGTCAGTAGAGCTTGGCCCTTTTATACCAGCTGAGAATCCTGCCTTTCATGTCTTCTGAATAATGCTTTTTCATGTAAACTCTTCCTGTAGTTGTATGAATGGGAGGAAGTGATCCATACAAAACGGGAGACAATCTCTATTAAAATGCAGTCAACTCGGTGAAAAGGTTTGACCCCTCCTTGATATACTAGCATCCAGATATGTTCTGGAGTGATTATATCCGAGCTTCATCTACTAGTTCTTCTTCAAGTCGTGTCCCTATGGATGCTCCTCTTCAAATGCGTATGCACCTCTTGAGCCTTTGATCGGAGATTTTCCGCTAGCAGCATCCTTCAGGCTGCGTATCCATCCTATAGATCCTCATGCCACACACCAAGGCTATAAAGGGCTGCTCTGCAAACCATTCTCAGTTCCTTCTCAACTACTTCAGCCTGAGACAGAGCCCTAGCATATCTGCTTTGAACATGCCGTTGCTCACTTCTTGTTTATAGTTTATTACTATTTAGTATTAGATACAACAGTTGTTAGTAGATAAGTAGTGTGAGGATTAACTTTGTTCCTCTCCTTTCCTTCAGGGAGCCTTACTCTCTGGCAGGGCATGCCTGGCTCTCCAGGATTCAAATGTTTCCTCTCTTGTCAGGAAGCTATTCTGGTTAGCGACAGCCACTCTAAGTGTGTCTGCTGTCTGGAAGAGTCACACATCTCCCAGAAGTGTAATGTCTGCCTGGCCCTTAAATCCAGGACAAGGAAGTACCGGGAGATCAAGCTGAGGCTGCTAATGATGGAGTGCTCCCTTTGACCCACTTCAGTCAGGTCAGGAGAAACTCCTCCCGCCCCCACCCTGGAAATCTGTCTCTGGGCAGATCCAGCACCCCTTTGACCTCAGCACATATCTTCCCATAAGAAAGGGAAGATTCTTGAGGCCTCAGTGAAGGCTCCCAAGAAGAGGAGCTTTGACTCCCTCCCATAAGATATGCTCCCAAAAGACCTTAGTCCCCTGCTAAGTGCATGATATCAGAAGCCTCGATCTCTCAGCTTGGTACTGTAGAGGTGAAAGACTCTCGGAGATCCAAGGAGAAACATGGCTCTGACAGAGTCCTGGTACTGTCTACAAGGGACAAAGAGAATAAGGATAAGCACTCCTCCAGACCAATACCACTGTGCACTGCTCCATTTTTGGTACCTCCCCAGTCAGGACCCTGGGTACTGTGCAAACTGAAGCATCAGACACTATCGGTGCCTACTTCGGTATGCTCTAAGAGTACCATCTCCTTCTGTTGTCAAGCACATTGGTACCAATCCTCCACTCGGTACCACAGGAATTTAGATACTCAAAAGACTTATCAGTGGCGGATGAACCAAAATCTCCACTTTTCATGGGTACTGAACACCTCTCAGTACCGAGCCGCCGATCTCCAGACTACCGTTACTCTCCAGTACTTCCAGACTTTCCACCTTGTTCTATTAATACCCACCAGTTGGAGGATATTGAAGAGGAAGAGGGGGACCTCCATTCAGTCTCTTCCATCTCAGTGCAGTGTTCTCCTACCCACCCATACAGGAACTGATTCTTTGACACGCATAGGGAAGATCCTCATGCATAATACTAAGGTGATGGGACCAACCATGGATGCTACCCCCTCTCCTTTATGGACTCCCCCAGTGGCTATATTGGGGTCCCTGGGCTGCGTACCAACAGCAATTTGCCAAAACACCAACTCAGACACATTGGAAAGCTAGAGATATTTGATCCTCTTCTTGCCAACTGAGACCCCAACATGAGGAGACATTTCAGGAACAGGAAGATAAAGAAGCCACCTCTCAAACTCCTATCTCTTTATTGTCTCCAGATTAGACCATGATGCTTCCACCACCATCCATGGCCAATGATTTCCAGCAATTTCGAGACCTTATAAAGCAGGTAGCCAACATTCTTCAAATACCACTCAAAGATGTCAAGGATTCACAACACAAATTATTTGACATTTTACAACCAGCGACACCCACAAGACTAGTATAATTCATTAATTAGGTGCTCTTGGACCCAGCAAAGATTGTTTGGCAAACACCCGCTACCATTCCACCAACTTGCAAATTGGCAGATAAAAAATATTATGTCCCCTCCAAGGACTCCAAAATTTTATTCTCCCCCATCCCCCTCCATGTAATTCTCTGGTGGTGGATGCAGTGAATGAGCAGAGTAAGCAACACTACTACAAGTCTGCCCTGCATGACAATGACCAAAAGTGCTTAAGCCTCTTTGGACAGAAGTAATATTCATTTGCGACCCTGCAATTTGAGATCACAAACTATCAGGTAGTCATGGCTAAATATAATTTCACAAACTATGATAAATTTATGGCCTTTATTGATCATCTTCCACAGGAACAGAGGAAACAATTTCAGGCCATCATCATGGAGGGGCCAGTTATTAGTCAGGATGTCTCTTCAAGTGTCCTTGGATGATGCAGACACCACTGCCAGGTCCATTTTTATGGCGGTAGTTCTGAACAGGGTGTCATGGCTTTAACTCCTGGAGTTCCAATGAGGTCTGAATCTCCCCTTTGATGTTTGAAAGTTGTTCTCAAAACCACAGATGAGTCTCTTCACACACTAAAAGACTCCAGGGTCATGTTAAGATCACCAGGTATATGTAACTCCTACAAAAAAAAATTTGAATAGGTCAAAAACTGCCCAGAGATCTCATCCTGATCAGTTCTCTGGGTTTCACAGATCTACCAAACCCCCAGGAAGAGACATAAGTTCCAGAGAAAAGAGCTTCTCATCCTCCTTCTGCGAGTACCTAGTGATCATTGAAACAACAGTTCTGATGGGTCAGTCAAGTGCCCGAATCCTCCCACACCTCTAGTTTAGCAGCTGCAACCCTTTCCCCACTTCCTCTCTTTCCCATTTCCAACATGCTAGGAGGTGGGTCACTACAGACAAGTGGGTCATAGAGGTCATAACATCAGGCTACTTTATCCACTTTACATCTCTCCCTCCCTCCCTTGCATTTTCCTTCCCCATCCCTCTTTAGGAATTCCTCTCACAAGCTTCTACTGAGACAAAAAATAGACTCCTTAATTTAGAAGTGAAAGAGCCAGTTCCAGCTCCTCACAAAGCAAAGGGGTTCTATTTGAGGGTGGAAACCCATTGGAGATCTAAGACTACTAAACAAATTTGAAAGTCTCAAAAGTTCAGGATGGTGACACTGGCAGCTATAATCCCTTGACTAGAGGCAGGAGAGTGGGTTTTGGACCTCAGTCTAAGAGACGCCTATTTCCATATGGCAATATACCCATCTCACTGAAAATACCAAAGCCTTGCAGTCGACTAGAAACATTTTCAGTAATGAATACATTCCTTCCACCTCTTCTCGACTCCCAGGGTGTTCTCAAAGGTCCTAACAGTAGTGTTTGCTTACCTTCTTTGGGAGGCAATTTTAGTCTTCCCGTACCTCAATGATTGGCTGCTCTAATGAAGCGGTACTGTCATCCGCTCAGACAGACCTTTCCCTTTTCCAAGAACTGGGTCTTCAGCTCGATGTAAGAAAATCCACATTAATCCGTGCACAGAGAATACAGTTCATAGGGGCATACTTGGATTCATTGACAGCCAGGACCTACCTTTCCACTGACAGATTCATAACTTTATCAAATCTAGTCAGAACCATTCAAGGGAGTCCTTGAACCTCAGTAAGGAACTGTCTACATCCCCTGGGTCATATGGCAGCTTACACCTTCATGACCAATCACACCTCGGTTGCTTCCAAGGCTGGCT